TTTATTCATCCACATTTTTTTTCTTTTTTACAGTTTTTTCTTCTTCTTCTTCTTTTCTTTTTCAATTTCTGCTAGTGATGTATTATTTACAAAATAAGTGCACCCTTCTTTCTTTCATTGGTTCCACTCAAAAGTCACCCCATACTTAGCCCCTTCTTATTTCTTTTAGTGCTCATTTTACAATTAAAGTGCTTTAAGAGGTAAAAGGATCAAAACAATGTCAATTAAGAACAAAAAAGGGCATAGACTTGTAATGTGGGTGCCAAATAAAAGTCTATAAGCTACAAAGGGTAACTAGGGATAAATTTTATTTATGGTAAGCAATAAACTCAAAAAGATCAAAGAAAGCCTAAAATCATTTCTCAAACCGAGATTCACCTAAAATTTCGCTTCAACTCACATACCGGGTAAGTTCTAGACACAAGTACAATACATGGACTACACAAAAACCTCACCACACATGGCACATGACTCTCTAAGGATGGTCCCATTGCGACTCTCAAACAATGCAAGTATTCAGGGAGCCACGAGATATTAAGCATTAAGTGCAAAATGAACACAAGTCAAAAAAAAATGAGAAATAGTCGTCAAAAAACATGCTATCCAACTAAGCAAGGCATCATCAACAATTTAAAATTATAAGGAAGATACTACACATGCCCAAGTCTAATATGCTACTATCAAACAAGTGAAGTGCGCCTACGTTCATCATTCTTCCTCCTTTTATTCCCTAAATTCCTAATCTACTTTAAAGGGGTAAAAAAATTACCCGATTCAAACTACATCCCATGAAAAAGAACCGAGGCACAAAGAAAAACCACGGGGAATTATTGCTACAAAAAAAGACATGTTTTTGGATTTTTTTCTACTTGTTAATTTTTAGTACTTTTGATTAGACTTTAATTCCTCAAGAAAACTGTCTAGGAGATCCATCGTCGGAACAAGTCCAAAAACTTTTTACTCTTTTTTTTTTTTGAATTTTTCTGAATTTTGTATAGTTTAAAAAAGATAAAGCTAATAAAGCTACTACTTATTAAAATACTACACAACTCTGAAAATAAAAAAAAATAAGAAATTAATATTTTTACTAACATACCACTACTAATAATTCAAAGACAGTCCCCCGATGCACAAATAAAGCGAAAATAAAAAGGTGGACAAGAAACTCCCTGAAAGGCCAAAGGCCGAAGCATTAGAGCTCACGGGGTACTCAGGCTTCTCCAAGGATGGTCCTTTGTGCGGGCACCCCACACTTAGTTCCAACCATCTGGCTTACTTTTGCACACTTTCTATGGCCTTGCTTCCCATGCTCAAAATTCTACAAAATAAAATAACACGACAAAAATAATACAAAAAAGAAAAAAAAATTAAACTAAAAGAAAGCAGTAAAGATGGGTTGCCTCCCAACAAGCGCCTAATTTAATGTCGCGGCAAGACGTGAACCACTTTTTCCTCCACCTCAAACTTATAAATTGTATCCCTAACATGGCATCCAGTCTGTGGCTATGCTCAAGTGGTGGGGCTATAAAGATAACCAGACCAAGCAATAAAATTTTCACTTTGTACTTCTCTACCTTTAAATGAGGAACGTAATTTTTGCTTTTTGACACCATAATTAAAGAAGGTAGGCACTCTCATCCTCACTCTTGGACTCCTCCATAGGATTAGATGGCTCGATTACTATCTTACTATCTAAATACAATATGAAAAAATGATTGGGATGAGGTCTAATGCGCCCTAAATCATGAATTTTACTACTGTTTACATCCCCATTTATTCACTCACTCAAGTCTCCCAAAGTAATGTTATCCATTATCTCATATGACTCTAGAGCACTCTTCACAACATTGGCATCCTCAGGAAAAACATGGTCCAATGTTTGGTATTCTCGTTTTAGTTCCTCAATTTGGTCTAGAAGATTTTTTTCAGCTTCGCTCACTCATTATTAAATTTTTTGGCGTTACACGCAACAACCTTTGCACTCAAATCTGTATCCAAGTTATGCACAGCCAAGCCAAAAGTGTCAATTTCATGTGCAAGATCAACTCTCTCCTTAGACCAATCATTCACCAACGTTGTTAAAAGACAACGTCGTTTCGTATATTTGCTTAATCGAGAATATCCATCCCAATACCAACCCTTACTCCCATATTCAAATTCAGACCTCCCGGAGTTCAGGGCATGACAAAACCAAAAATATGGGCCATAAAAAGTCTTCCGTCAACCAAGCATCTTCATCAATAACCTTACCTCCGGATACTCCATCCCCATATGTCATGCTGAGAGAACTAGAAACACACTAAGAGAAAGTTAAATAGTTATAAAATTAAAAATACTTACAAATAGAAAGAAAAAAAAACCTGTAAAGATAAAAGTAAAAGTCTAATCTAGAAAAATAGCTAATTCTAAGTCCTCGACAACGGTGCCAAAAACTTGTTGCGGCCAAACGCACAAGCAAGTATACGCGGTCGTCAAGTAATAAAGTGACTAAAAGTCGGATGTCGAACCCATGAGAACTTGTGATTAACTATTAACTAAATTAGACTATCATAATTTTCTAAACAAGAATTAAACCTAGAAATATTTGATTCTAAATTAATTAAATAAAGAAATATAAATAATAAACTTTGAACAGGGAAAGAACGGATTTTTATGTTATCAATATCATGAAAACCATCTAGGGTTATGGGTTATCTAACAATCATATTGTTTTTTTCAATTGAATTGACTAATTAATTTATTTGGTTTATTGGTTGACAGGGTTAATATTGCTCATACGAATCTGTCGAGTTCTTACTCGCCTATTCAAGCTAACCTAACGCCTATATGTCTATGGAATTAGAACTAACAAGAACGCATTTATAATTCATGTAAATCAACCAAGCAAGGCAATTAGGTATATGTCTATCCTAGTCGCGAATGTATTCCCCGATGCCCAGGTTCAAGAACTTGCTCTACTCAATCCTATATGCAATCTAGAATTCTCACTTTCGAGTTTAATTTTAGATTGGTAGATAGTATTCAATTGGCGATCAGACAATTAAATAATTAAGTGCAGGATTGAATAAATAAACCAATATGAGAAATCAAAAAATCAAAATCATATCCGAATAACAATAGTCATGAAATAAACCACAACCCTAGAACGTGAGTTTTAGCTCCACATAGACATGGTAGCCAAACAACAAATCACACAAAGAAACATAAAAATACTATGTTTGGTGGAATAAAAGATGAAATCCGGCCTCCACGGCGGCTCTGTGCTCTCCATTGGTCAAATGTTCCTCTCAAAAACGTTCTCCCACCTTAAAATAGGTTTAGGTTGGCTTTTATATGAGTTGGGGACGTCCTGGAGTCGAAATAACAGAGTCCCTATCGAAATAAGGCATGCTCACGTTTTGAGCGTTCAGGGCAGCGTGGGGCGCTGGCCCTGGCGCTCAACTTATTAGCATTCTGTTTTGAGCGCCACAGGTAGCGCCCCACGCTGCCTGTGGCAATCAAATGTGCACTTTTGCCTTTTCTTCCCATTTTCGCTTCAATTCGTGCGCTTTCGTCCCAAATCACGTCTGAATGATTCCTACACATAGAAATATCATAAATTAGCACAAATCATTATATTATAGATCCGAAATCTACGAGACATGAGCACAATGTGAGGCAATATATGTAAAAATATGCATACTTTAAGCCAAACATCATTTATATTATGGTTGGTTGTCTATATCACATCTCTTAAAATACGGCTCTTTTTTAATTTCTGTGTGAATACAAAATATTTTGTGCGTCGAGCTGCATTTGGAAAAAAATAAAAGTGGATTTTTGTGGGGATGGTGGGAGAGAAAGAAACCAAAAAAAACAACCAAAGAATCAGGATAAGAGCAGAACTAATGATAAATTCAAGTGGGGTTTAATTTATTTTGGGGACCCTCTCACTGTTTCTCTTGTCGAGATTTTTTATGTTCCTTGGCTAATTCCTTGAAAATAACATTAGCATATCCTTTGACGGATAGGCTAATCTAACAAAACAAAGTTACCTCAGCTCAATTCTCTCTTTTAACACCATTTTGTTTGTCTAAGACATTTTGACTCTAATTTTTCACATACCACACTAAAAGAGCAGTCCAGTGCACTAAGCTTCTGTTATATTCGAGGTTCGGGGAAGGGCCGAACCACAAGGATCTATCGTACGCAACCTTATCTTATATTTCTACAAGAGACTATTTCCACGGCTCGAACCCGCAACCTCCTGGTCACATACCACACTACAGAGGTTAAATAATCACTATTTTTTTTTTAATTGGAAAAGGGTTAAAATTACTCCTACACTATCGAAGATTGTTAAGAGTGCCCCTAGTTATATACTATTTGGTCGAATGAATCCCCGCCGTTATACGTCCGTTCAATTTGCCCCTAATTTTAACGGCAAGCCACGTGTCACTCCCACATTCAGTTAACCCATCCCCCAATATGTGGGGGTGACACGTGGCTTGCTGTTAAAATTAGGGGCAAATTTGAACGGAAGTATAACGGTAGGGATTCAGTCGACCAAATAGTATAACGAAGGTATTTTTAAATAATATTCGATAGTACGTGGGCAATTTTGACCATTTTTCGTTTTTTATAATTGTGGTGTTTGGGCCAACTTACACGCATTTCGACTAATTCCACCGGATACCTGCCACCTTCCGCTAGCAACAAGTACTAGGTAACTCCATTCACCAAAGTTTGGACAGATAAAAAGAAATTACCTAGTATTTTTGTCTCGGCTGGAATTTGAACTAAAATATTCACTACATTGTCATGTCAACTTTATGGATTATGCTGTATTCATGTGATACTTATTTGCTTTAGCTCAATTAAAATTTAATACAAAAGGTTCTATATATTGGTCCCAAATTTGTCGTAAAGGAGATGAAAGACTTATGAAAAGAGGTCATCCATACGTATAAAGAAAGCATAGTATCTAAACAAAATTAATTAAAATCCACTATCCAACATCTCTATCTCCAGTGAATGCTCATTTCAAGCTTTCATTGCTATCTTTCTGTGTCTTTTTTCTCACTTCATAATCAACAACAAATATATTATATAAAAATCTTGTATCAACCGCTACTCTTATTACTCAATTCTTGATTTCTTGTCCATATGTGTTATTTGAATGCTATGTATTTTAGGCCCTAAAGGACAACAAGTGAACCACACCACACCACTATATGGCAACTACTACTACACATGTCAAATTCCAAACCCAACACATTAAACCCAAACGTCGTCGTTGCCGTGAGACCACCATTACTTCTTCCTCCTCTTCTGATTCTTCGCCTACCACCTGTTCGACACAATGTCTGAACGAAACTCGTAAGCTTGATACACCTACTATTGTTTCTCCTGAAAACTCATGGTGTTGTCCTGCTTCTAAATCTACTGTCACACCCCCTCCACCCTCGCCGCCGTCATCCATCTCCGCTTCCTCCTCGCCTTCAAATCTCAAGATCTCATATTCGCCAACTACATTTCCTAAAGTTATGGAATCTCTCGGCAGTACAGCAACAGCCACCTTTTACGGTAGTGGAGGAGGTACTCCTATCCCAAACAACAACACCCACGAAGCATTTCCGTCATCTTTCAGCAAATTCAACTCTGCACTCACAGCTGGGCTTTTAAACCCTATGTCACCGCCACCTTCTATGGACAACAAGACTCGTTCAAGCCCGACCCTTTTCGAAATGATGGCAAATGAACCCGAATGTATTCCAAGATCAACAATCAACAATGCACCCATTTCGAATGGGGGCTTAAATCAGAAGCTTTCTACTTCCCTTATGCCACAAGACAAACAGGCCTTAATGCAACAGCGACTTTTGGATCTTTTATCCTGTAGGAGCCCGGGGAATCAGTTTAATGATTCGGGTTCGAGTGATGTGAAGTTAACACTGAGTTCTAAGGATGGTTTCAGTGTTGCTATGAATGTTCATAGGCAGATCTTGGTGGCTCATAGTAGGTTTTTTGCTGTAAAGTTGTCTGAGAAATGGGTAAAGCAACAGAGAAATTCGGGTCCTTACATTGTTGAGATTGCAGATTGTGATGATATTGAAGTGTATATTGAGACCTTGAGATTAATGTATTGCAAGGATTTGAGGAAAAAGCTCATGAAAGAAGATGTTCCCAAAGTCCTTGGAATCTTAAAGGTAATGCTTGTGCATCTATACTTACTTTATTAGTTGTATAATTACCTAGTAATGGAAATCTTCTGATAAAATATTCGCATTGAAAAAAAATGATGACTGAATCAGTCAGTGGTTAATGAAGTGGGAAAAGAACCGTAAGGGTTCGAGTTCATGGGTAGAGTTTCCCGGTACCTGTGTTGGTGGGAGATAGCCGGTACCCGGAATAATTGAGGTGGGCGCAAGCTGGTTCGGACATCATTGGTAAAAACAAAATTACTTGGTCAAATGAATGGTACAGAGGATTCATATAACTGACCCCAACTGATTTATGACTTAGACACGGTTGATTATTGTTAAATCACTTAGCTAGATAGACTGTGACCTCTGTAGTCAATATTAAGTATATGCTTGGTCGATTTTGAACTGTGAGTAGAAGTTAGGCATCAAAATTGTTGTCTTCGTTCATTAGCCATGCATATTGTTTGTGTCGAATAGTCATTGAATTGTATTGCTTGCAAATTTATTTTAATGTGCTTTGTAAGAGATAGTTGATTTTCCATGCCACTTTATTTTAGGATAGTGAATTGTTTTTGAGATAAAGTCTAGTCTTTATGCACAGACACACACATATGTGGGTAATTAGAAATTTGCACGGCATTTCGGCCCTGGCTAATTAAATTGTGTTATAGGTTTCAGCGGCAATTGGGTTTGATGCGGGGGTGTTGTCGTGCCTGGAGTACTTGGAGGCTGCTCCTTGGGCTGAGGATGAAGAAGAAAAGGTAGCTTCACTACTGTCTGAGCTTCGTCTTGAAGGGGTAGGTGCTGGGGAAGTTTTAAGGAGGGTATCTCTTGATGTTACATCAGGGACAGAGAGTGCAAATGGGAATGAGGAAGTACTTCTCAAGTTATTGCATGTGGTTCTTGAAGGGAAGGATGAGAAGGCGAGGCGAGAGATGAAAGGCTTAGTATCCAAAATGTTGCATGAGAATTCATCTCATAACGACTTGAGAAAGGAGTCACTGTATTCAGCTTGCAATGCATGTCTGCAATTGCTTCGCCACCAGTTTTTACGGGCAGCAGACGCAGACATGGCGGATGTGGGTCAGATTGCACGACAGGCTGATAATCTGCATTGGATTTTGGATATCTTGATTGATAGACAGATAGCTGAAGATTTTTTGAGGACTTGGGCTTCTCAGTCTGAATTATCTGCGGCACATCCTAAGGTGCCTGCACTTCATAGGTATGAGGTTAGTAGGGTCACGGCTAGACTGTTTGTTGGAATTGGTAAAGGGCAATTACTCGCTTCCAAGGATGCTAGGTGCTCTCTTTTGCAGACATGGTTAGTGCCATTCTATGAGGATTTTGGATGGATGAGGAGGGCATCAAGAGGTCTTGACCGGCATTTAATTGAAGATGGTCTCAGTAATACTATTCTGACCCTACCAATGGCATTGCAGCAAGAAATTTTAACGTCTTGGTTTGATCGGTTTTTAAACTCCGGTGATGACTGCCCGAATATCCAGAGAGGATTTGAGATTTGGTGGAGAAGGGCTTTCTGGAGGCGAAATGGCGAGCCTGAACGGCCTCGTCAAATGCGTGTCATGACTGCAACAATTGAGAACTCTTGAGACTTAACCAGTGAAGAGAAGAAGGGCCACGTCCTCTCTATGGTTGTCTTGTTCCAACTCTTGCTATTCTGTAGCCCTCATCTTATACCAATTCTTTTTTTCCTTCTTCCTTTGAAGCAAGTAGCACATTTTGATACTGCAGAGTCAAACTTATGGAGATGATCATGATCCCAGGTTTAATCTGGGAGAAAGCAGGCACTTTTTTTCTGTTTAGGTGTCATGTGATATGAATATAGTTTCTTTCTAATCCCATGTAGAGCTCTCTCGTCTGTGACTAAATTTCCTGAATTAGTGGTTTTAAGTTCACAAAGAGTCATCCCACTTAAAAGTTGTGCAATATCCTGAATGCTAAATTCTGTTACTGGGATGATTCATATATTCAGTATATCAAGACATGGATAACTAATTTGAGCAAGCTAACGAAGTTGAGGTAATTTGGGAGATAATGGTGATTGTCACTGCTTATGAGGCGACATTGATACTGGTTTTGTGGTGGCAATGCCAAGGGTGCAGCAAGATGGTGAATTGCTTATTGTCTTAGATTTTCATGTATCTTGAGATCATCTGCTGGCAAAGTGTGGAAGCAAGACTGATAGTCATCGCATTTCTGGTTGCTAATGAAATTCATTACATCTATGCACCTTGTGAGCCAGTCTCTGCTTAGGACTAGATGTACTGTTTTTCCCTCGCGTGAATACTGTAGCACGATATTCCCTAGTGTGAATTCTGAAGTTCTTCAATGTTCTTTCCATTGTTTCTCATTCCTTGTTGACCAAATTTTCTGAAGTTTACCTTGTTGCATGATGTTTAACTTTCCAATTACTAATTTTGTTTTGCATGAATAATGAGTTTAATTCTATGATGCTGTTCTTCTATGTACTATCTGAGACTGTTGACTTATGTTCTTCTGTTTATTGATTAGGTTGGCACCTTTAGTTAAAGATAGTCATGTCTTCTTTTGTTTGACTGACTATATGCTGGTATCCAATTTTCCTGAACTTTTGGAGATTCCTTGTCCTAGGATTGTAGAACATCTAGCTTTAGCTGTTTTATTTGAAAAAGAAAAGAGAGTTAGTTATTATTCTTATCTTTTGATTCCACTATTTCCACTTGTGCTTGAAATTCTGAATGTATAATAGGTTGTGTTAACTACTGGTGATAAAGTAGCTATCAACATACAGTTTAATATACAACAGTATTGTTAAACCATCAAAGTCAATTACAGGTAACTTTTTACAGAAACATGGACTTGATAGCCTGCAAAATATGGTAAATGACAGATTACAGCAGGTTAAAACTACAATGATAGTATGAAATTCTTTTGTACTGATGTACATAAGGCAAACTCTTCTGCTCAAAACATGGTAAATGATAGATTACAGTAAGGTAAAATTACACTGGTAGTGTGAAATTCTTTTGTACTGTCTGTGTATATAAGTCAAACTCTTCTCTTAACGCTGATGCATTTTCACCAAGTATGGTTGTGGTTTCCAACAGGTCTTAGCTTCAACATCTACTTTCAAGAGTTTTTCCTATTTTCTTACCTTCTTAATAATCTCACAACTCAAAATTCTTGGCTTCGTCATCATCAAAGTGAGTAAAGTAAGATGGTCCAGTAATCAAGCAATCATAATTCAGTTCACCTGGTTTTGCTATCTTTTGCCTTCATAAGAAAAACAATAAAAATAGATAAATAAGAAACCCAGGTAATTTCAACCACAAAAGATGAGCAGTGTGTTACCATTCTTGGTCAGTTAGCATCTCATCAGTCATACCAAATTTCTGCAACTCCTCCCTTGTATGGTGCACTGACAAGCAGTACCTGCAGATTTTCACAAGTCAAAAGTAGTTCAATTTTCCTAGTTTTGCTGTAGCTGGACTTCATCATAAAACTAGAGAGAGCACCACCAAGCGTTGTGGTAGAATCGTAAGTACTCCTTCAACCTTAGCCAAGGGTCGCACGTTCGAGTCTTGGTTCCGAAGTTGCTTTATTAGAGAGCACTTTACGCCCCCCCCCCCCCCCCCCCCCCACACCAATGTGGACTTACTTGCACGGATTTGGATTTAGTCGATTCCCAATGTGGGTATCGGACACCAGGTGGAAACCAACAACAACAACAACATACCCAGTATATTCCTGCAAGTGGGGTCTGGGGATGGTAGTATGTACGCAGTCCTTACCCTTACCTTGTGAAGGTAGAGAGGTTGTTTCTAAAAGATCCTTGGCTCAATACAACAGAACCACAGCAAGTTACGACAGAGAACTACGGCAAACGAAATAGTAACAACAACCAGAAAAATAAAACGAAGATATGTTTGTTTACCTTCCACCATAGCCTCTTTCCATGACAATCATGCCTCCATTACTCATATTATGAAGTCCTTCAAATTGCTCAACTGTCCATTTATACCATCTCATCAAGAAAACTCTTAGAGTAAGTCCATGAGAAACTATAACCAAATTCATATTTGGACTCTGCTGACCAGGTGGTTGAAATCTTCCTATGTCAATATCACTTCTAAGAGTTTCTCTGAACCCTGCAACTCCCTTTTTCAAAACAATCTCATCACCAAACAAAATGCTCAAAAAACTCAATGAATCTTGAAAAAAACAGACTTACCTGTGATTCTGTCATACACATCTGCTGCTGATTCTCCATTAGGAAATCTATAAAAGAAACGACCATAACGAGCTCGCACAGCTTTCTCTATCTTCATTTGTTCTTTGTCCTGGAAATTTCCTAGATAAACACAATTCATAAGATGCTACTACTACCTCCGATCCAAAATAAGCCCAACCAATTTAGTCATGAGTGTCGCTTTAGGAAGTAACAAAGGGAATTAATTATGACTTTCTCAAATCTATCCTTGCTGCAATAAATGATCTAAAAAGTTCGAGGAAAGATAACGGATAATTTGAGGAGATATAAACTGTTATTCATTCAAATAATCTTTTATAATTAATGCTATTAAATTGTTTTTGTATGCGCGCCAAAACATAAACTGACACTTATTTTGGACTAAAGGGAGTAAATACTAGGAAAGCCAAGCAATGTTAAGAAAACAACTCTCAAAGCTAGTTCATGATTATATAAAAAGACAATAGCGCATTTCCTCAACGAATCCATCGAACACTTAAGGATGGACATACGGAGCGTGAACAACGTGGCATGAGAGTTCAACAACAACAACAACAGCAACAAACCCAGTATAATTTCACAAGTGGGGTCCGGGGAGGATAGTGTGTACGTAGACCTTACCCCTACCTTGTGAAGGTAGAGAGTTTGTTTTCGATAGACCCTCGGCTCAGAGTTCAACATTGCATAAACCAAGAAATGGTGAACCTAGCTCTGATACATGTCAAAAATTAAACTTTGCACCTAACTACTCGACTCTAAAAGTTAGCTCATGAGTTGCAGATTACCTAACAAACAATAGTACGTAATTCCATTTCCTAGACCAATATGGAACATTTAGCAAGTAAAACCTGGTCAAAAGAATTTATAAACAAAACTTGTTCATACCAAAATCTTGCTCTCTTAGTCGAGGCTCTTCTCTAACACCAGCAATTCTTGAACGTTCAAATGACTTAGCCAAATTACGCAAAGTTTCGATACCTCTTTTATAAGGTGACACATAAAAATAAACCTTCCAATCATCTCCATCATTTTTCTCAATTATTTCCCTCATTTTTCTTCCACATTCCTCTGCTTCTTCTACTCCTTTTTCTGTCAATCCAACTTTAGGATCAGCTACTCTTGTATATACACTTTCATCTACATTTCCTTCACTTTGTCCATGTCGTACCAGAATAATTCTTTTTGGCCTAGGTGGTTTTACAATGCCTGGATATGATAATACTAGGTTCTTTTCTGGGAAACTGCTAACCCAACCATTGACTTCAGCTGATTTATGTTGCACTTCAGAATATTCATTATCACAACATCGGATTGTACTAGAATTTGGGTAAAGTTTTTGATGATTTAGTCCAAAAGAAGTTGGATAAATTTTGGAGAAAAGATTACTCATTTTGCTAAAATGTAATTTAGCACATAAACATGGTATCTAAGATTTTTTTGGTCAATTTGATGCAAATGTGGCTACATAGTGTAATGAAGAGAAGTGAGAGTTTAGTGTGCTTTGTTTCTATTGTTTGTGTTGTGTTATGTGAAACTAAAAGAAGAGCCAAGCAATTTTTGCCTTATCTAACATGATGCAAGTGTCTGCACCAAGATGGACAATTGTGCGGTGGAGGATGGACTTGTGACATTGACAAGCATTAGAAAAATGTTTCCCTCTGTGAACCTGTTTGACTGGGCATGGAGTTTAAGAAAAAATGAATACTTTTGGAATTTGTAATCCTAAACAAGTCAAAAAGGGACCCAGAGTATTTGTGTGGTTATAAAAGCTTCTTATTAAAGGTAGAATAAGTTAAATTATTATCAAATTTAGAAAGGGTTATTCTTTTTGAAACGGACCAAAAAAAAAATAGGTTCACATAAATTGAAAAAGAGGAAGTACCAGTAGTAAAAGGTTTTTGGCATGTAGTACAATGTCACATAAGGTTAGTTGTTGATTAGAGGAGAGACGAGCTGCCACTTTTTCGTATTCTTTGTGAACTTTTTTTTTTTCTTCTCCCGTTTGTAGAATGGTAGTGTCGGAGTAAGGATGCACGCACCTCGATTAATTTGGTAGATATTGCGGTATTATTTTTCATCAGTAAAAATATCGGATAATTCTTTTCAATAGCGATTATAATTTCGACCTGAATAATGTTATTACTTACACTTACAACCATTATTCTCCATGCAATGTGCAATTAGAGTGGGATTAATGGGCCTTTGGACATAAAAATTATATTTTTTGAAAAAAAGTAGTATCTGGAGTCTTAGGGGTATTCATGGTTCGGTTTGGGTCGGTTTTTCCCTAAAAAGAAACCAAGCCAAGTAAGTCGGTTTTTCAAATATTAGAACCAAATCAAACCAATTAAGTCGGTGTTTTATCGATTCGGCTTTTGTCGGGTTTTTCGGTTATTTATCGATTTTTTTCTTAAATATGATACATATACTACCAAACGCATATTACGGCGATTACATTTTTAACGTAACACTATCAAATCAATGGGTCTTTGAGAAATCTATCATCTACCAAGATATATTGATGATATTTTAATCAAATAGTGATGAATAATTTAAGTACTCAATTAAAAATCGGTTATTTTTAACATGAAATAAATTCTTGTACTTAGCAAAAGAAAACTACTAAGCAAACTAGAATGTAAAGGTAAAGAATTAGATGATTATAATAGCAAAGAATTAGACTAAAAATATAAATGACTAATATGTACCATAAAATTTTAGAAACTTTATATAAATATATATATATATATATATATATATATATATATAGGTGTAATAATAAATTTAAATAGCTACTTTTATAGTCGGTTTGGTTCGATTTTTTTTTGATTCAACCAAAACCAAACCAATTTTGATCGGTTTTTTAAATTCAAAACCAAAACCAAACCAAACCTAAAAAGTATCGGTTTTTTTTGTCGGTTTGGTTCGGTTTTTCGGGTTTTTATGAACACACCTATCTGGAGTTAAGTTGAAAAATAGTATTTGGAATTTGAAACTATGTTTGGATATGCATTTCACTTTTTTTGAAAAATGTTGCAGTTTTGTGAGCAAGGAGAAAAGTTTTTTTTGAATATTTTGAATTTCCGTTTTGAAAAACTCATCTAAAGCAATCTCAAAAAACTTACAAAATTTCATGGACAAACACATTTTTTTTTAAAAAAAAACAAGAAAAAAAAATATTTATGGACAAACGGGTCCTTAAAGTTGTATTAAACTCATTACTTTCTGCTCGAAATTAGTATATCATTACTCATTCTTAACTCCGCACTAGATGGACTGTTCTTATTGGGTAATTTGCAAGAATGGACTTGGAAGTGGGTGCTCTTGATTTTTTTTACCCTGCTTGTCACATGAGGAGAACTTCAAATTTAACAAGTGTTGTCCCTCGCTTGCCCCTTCATTTAGATCTGATTGTAAATTATGTTTCAAGAAAGATCCGATGTGGTTTTATATGGATTCCGCCAGAAGATAGAGTCAAAATTGAAGTAAGCCCTTATGTTTCAACCAAAGGGCCTATAATTTATCGACTCCACAATAAAGATTTGAAGAATTAGTTTTTAACTTCACCGTTCCTTTCGTGGGAATACAATTCAAGATTACACAGTTCAAGAAACTTATTTTCTTTTAAGAAATAGATTCAGATTTAAAGTAAGGAATGAGAAACATGAAATAAGAGCTTATGTTTGTAAAATTTGTGAAAATGTCGACTAATCTGTTGGAGTGGATGTTATTACACTGTATTTGTAAAATAAATTCTGGAAATATAAATGAATATAAACAGTAATGAATATAAACAGAAATGACATAAACCAATTCGAGCCCACTGAATTCACAGTGTTTCCTTAAGGAATTTAATCCCCTCCTAGTACCCAAGGTTATGGATTATTTCCTCCCAGGATAGAACGAATTACACACTGGTGTAGTGGTACTTCAAACCCCAGTGTTTCAGCGAACACAAAGTTCGGTAGCAAATCACACTTACTTTTTTGCTTTGTTTTGATGCTAAAAGTATGCAGAAGAAGGAGAGGAAACTCAGAAAATTGTAGTTAAAATTCTGAGCAGAATAGTGTTGTATTTATAGCCAAAGTTGGGTCTCTTCAGAATGGCTATTTATGCAAAACGCCCACAACATAAATGCCATTACATAAATGGCCATTTACTCAATAATAAAGAGGGAAAATAAAGAGGGAAAATTGAAGAGGGTAGTTACTTTTCTGTTACCAAAACAGAAAAACGGATTGGATTTAATATTAATATTTAATATTAATATTTTGTTATTAAAACAAATATTTAATAACATTTCTGTTAATATTTTACTATTAACAAATAAATTTGGTCCAAAAAGTTAATCAATCAATCGATCATTTGACCAAATCCGAATCCGAAGCCGAAGCCGAAGCCGAAGCCGTAGCCGTAGCCGAAGCCGAGCCGAGCGAGCAACGACGACGACGGCGCGAGGCTTGCCTTCTTCTCAACTCTTTAAGAGCTAGAAGAAGAGAAATTGCTTATATACCCATAAAAAACCTCTTCCTCTTCCAATATGGGACAATGCCCATTTGCCAAGGGAGGGGGAACTTAAAATTTCACTCAAAAATTTCATTTCCCTCCATTTCCCATTCACCCTCTTTTAAGTATTTAATATATTAATTAAATACCTTAAAAATCCAACAGTTTTTTTCGGTTTGACTCGTATTATCGATTTGGTGCGATTTATCGATTTGCTTTGTACAGCCTAACTATGAAAATAAAGTCAGAATTTTTTTGTGTTGTTTCCGTGAAATTAAAGTATCTAATCCCAAACAATAAAATCAAAGAAGAAAGGGAAGTCGGTTAATTTGACCATACTTTGACCCCTTTATAACATAATTGCTTGACCAAATTCTTTCATTTCTTCTTACGCGCGTTTCTTTCTTTCAAATTCAAGAAGTTAGAAGAAGTCTATCAAAAACTCTCTCAAACCAAGAACTCAAATATTTTAAAACTCCTCCAAAAAAACTTCAAGAATTCCAACCAATGGATCATGAAAGAAACCTTAACAACTCATTCAATAGCATGTATGCTTCAATGATGATGAAAGATTCTACATTTTGTTGATTTTTGTATCATGATTTCTGATAATGTACGAGAAGAATTTGAGAAAAATTATGATTAATGTAAGAAAATATACATATTATATTGTTCACTCCAATTTGAATAAAGTAGACTTTAAAGTCATATTCCTTTTTTAATATTATGTTCTCTTTTCCTGGTTTGCTTCCCCTTTTAGCTAATTTTGTAGAGTAACCGAGAATTAGGATGCTCGAAAATTTATTCACATGCCCATTTATCACCCCATTCATAGCCGATCGCCCTGTCAATCTATTTACTCATTTTTCCATCTATGGGTGTCACTAAGTAAAGCAACCTGCTAGCGATGTGCTCGTTATCTTTTCTCTATGGATAGAAAATATTCATATGTGGAACATTCTTACATTCTTGTTTAAGATATCAAGTTACTACTTTGGAGTTTGGCCACTAAAACTACATATTAACTAGGCTTAAGCTTAAGCAAAGTGTAGCATTAGTTCCGCTCTATGGTTAAATTTCATGTAAAAAATATTTTATGTTAATTGTACGAAACAAATATCAGTTTCGCTCTAACATAAAATATTGAATTTTGTCCTTATGGATGCATATCTTTGGATGTATGAATACAAAATTAGGGACTGTGTACATGGGGGGTGGCATAGGTGGGAGTGTTGTTTCTATGCACACCTCGGGGAGACAACTCGTCGCAGTGATCCTGCGACACATTCGGGGGGGAGATATGTCCTTTCTTTGCATGCACCAACTCATGCCCAGATGGCAACGGGTGCAGGTTTGCTCACGGTATATACGAGCATCACCTGCACCCAGACTTATTTCGCACTACGAGGGGTACTCGTGAGGTTTGCACGATGATGCCTTGCTTTTATGCGCATTCTGAGGATCAATTGAGAGTTGTTACTCGATGACGCTTGTCCTCCCAGGTAATCCTAGTAGCATAAATTAATCCACTTTCCACTTTCCTCATTACTTAACTTTTGTTTATTTTAATTTTCTGATCAGGCTCTCTCTTATTATCCACTGAGGAATAACCCTCCAGCTTCTAGTAGTTCCGACCCACTGGCAGTTTCTAACCCACTGATGAACAATCCTCCAATGCCTCAAGTTCCTAGTGATGCAGATTTCTCCGACCCACTGGCAGTTTCTAACCAACTGATGAACAATCCTCCAATCCCACAAGTTCCTAGCGATGCATTAGTAATATTTATTTATATTAATAAGATTCAATTCAAGTTAATAAGTTGTTAGCTACGTGTGCAATATATTATATTTAGATATTATTGTAAAAAGTTTTGTTTACTAATATAAAGATTTGATTAATTTAATTTAAAATTCTAGAATATTTCTAGAGTTAAAACTTGAAAATTTAAAATAAAATTGAAATATTGGAAAGAGGATTTTAGTAATTTCTTGATGTCACAATACAAGAAAATTGGCAA